TATATATATATATATATATATATATATTACAGAGCATAGATATTATAAATTAACTGATTGAAAATATGTTTTTCCCTAAACAGTAATAACCATGTTTCAAAAACAGAAGCTAAAAACTTTAAATTTAATTATATAATTCAATTAAAAGCATTAGCTACGTTTCATCTTCAAACGAATATTGGAATGATTTATTTCTCTGTATCCTTGGAAACAGTAAATTATGATTTTATATTGGCGTTTGAAACTCAGTAAATTTGAAAATAAGTCATTCCATGATTACTACAGAGAATCGAACAAGCACCGTTTCGATACAACGCAAACGTCATATTAACTGTACCACGGGACTCGGTGACTAAAAATACGCAAACTAGACTTGATATAGCGTAGCTACTCTGTTCGGCAAGGATACTCATCCAAGTATTCAGATAACCTCGGAACACTGCCCCAAGAGCCACGACTGCTTTTTAATTTTGTATCGAAACGATCCTGGTTCGATTCTCAGTAGTGGATTCTGCAGTCCAGTGTTTTCTGCATTCTGTTGAGGATTTTTCTAGAATCATTGCTATATATATATATATATATATATATATATATATATATATAGTGTAACCCGGATATAAGAGACACGGATATAAGAGAAACCCGGATATAAGAGAGATTTTATCTGGTCCCAAATTAGAGCCTGAGTTAATGTATACATATAGACCAAACCCGGATATAAGAGAAACCCGGATATAAGAGACTTCTTCTCCGGTCCCGACAACTCTCTTATATCCGGGTTACAATATATATATATATATATATATATATATATATATATATATATATATATGATTTAACTTAATGTAACTTTTAAGATAGTATAAGTTCAAATATCTACTTTGATGGGAAGGCCTCGAGCTAAATTTCCCCACGCATTTTGGGTCCCATTAAAATGAAATATCGTGAAAATGTAGAGCAGAGATGGATAGAAATCCGACAATACGATAAATTAAATAAAGAACAAGCAGGAAACGTATCTCAATCTAACATGTTTCACTTTTATTAAAGTCTCGTCAGTCATGTATCGAAAAATATATGATCGTCCAAGCGTGTATCACGTATGACACTGTCTGATTATATATATATATATATATATATATATATATATATATATATATATATATACTCTACAGTTCAAAAGTTTAACGCAGAGCCCAGGTATTTTTAAACTGGTCCCAAATGTAGGTATTTTGTATTTTAAACAAGAGGAAATTATTACACGTAGTTAAGAAAGTTTGACATCTGTTTTAGAAAATTTATTATGACAAAAAAAAAAGGAAATGATGGACAGATATGGATCCAACAAGTGATAAAATAAAATCTCAAACTAACATGTTTCCAGTCGAAAAGAAGAGAAGAGAGGTGCCGCAAACGTTTTTGGTTGTAATGTGGATTGTTTTAAAAAATATTATGCTTTATTTTCCATAATTTTAGTACATGTGTTTCTGGTCTCGCGACCGTCATCAGGTAAAAGTCAGAGAATTCCACATATTATTTTAAATAATTAATCGGTACCTCTCTTCTCGTCTTCTTTTTAATATACACTCTTATTAATATACACACTTTTCTCTCGTTGAACCCACTATAACCTCTTTCTTATATATATATATATATATATATATATATATATATATATGTGTGAAAATATTCGAACAGCACAACACTTTCTACATACATATGGCAGCAAAAAGACAAAAACATCACACCAACAATAAGTTGGGAAATATTGAAAAAAGCCCTGCCTACAACAACATTACGAAAAATGCCTACTTTGCCTACACGAAAAAAGTAGCAATAATATCACACAAACCGCAAAAAGAACTTGCTAAACAAAAATCAGAGATAATCTCCAAATGTAGGCATGAGAACAAGTATCTATTATCCGAATTCATACCAAACGGATAAAACAGACAAACCACCAACAATCACAATTTAATTTCAAGATACCATCAAAATAATTGCACCTATCATTATTATAATTGCACCACCATTAGTAATCACTTTTACCACCTTTACAATATCTATTAACTATCAATATTATCATTACCACCTACACACAGCACCATCACTTACACATCACACCCACTATTAACATATAATCCACTACAATCTTTATTACCCCCCCAGCATATTTAATACTTTAAAACAATATGATCAGATATAATTTCCATATGTAACCATGAGAACAAACACCTATTACCAGGCAGCTTTAATATAATAATAAAATTTTGTAATTAAAATTATAGCAATCTTCAACTACCATAATTTTACATAGAATACCTATTATCAGGATTTATACCAAAAATAAATTAATATATATAAAAAAATAAAACAAAAATAAAACACCAACAACCACTTTTTAGTTCAAGCTACCACCACTATAACTACATTCATGGTTTTATCATTCTCCCACCACCGTTACTAATCATTTCTACCAATCTGCAATTTCTTCCAGTTTACAATAACTATTAGCTAAAACCTAAATAGCATTGTCTCCAATCCTTTGAAACATTACTATCACATCATATCATATAAACCCGTTATTAAATTAAACATCACCATATAAATTAAACAATAAGGATTACAATTTTTACCTGTTACATATACACAGTCACCAAAAACAAACAAATAACCAGCTTTAAATATAACAAATAAACCCCCATTTTTTCAAAAAATTTAAAAATAAATATAAATAATTTAATAATAATTTTTACCTATCATAATTTTACACAAAACCCCACCACATATATACATACATGCGAGAAATATTTTTTCAAATATTTTCAACGGAAAAAAAAAAAAAAATTTCATAATATGACATGGATACATTCACGAGACAATAACGAGACATTTCCGCCACACTTCCAATGTTTAAATTTCAACATTTCAACATACAAATGCGTATGTATAGACATAACACCACCCGTATACATACATGTGTCATAGCCGAAACTGTCTACATATGTTTATATATATGTATGAGTCCCGACGGACGACCATGTATGTATATGTATATGTGTCTGCATACATCGATGTTTGCGTTAGTACGATGAATGACAAAACGACGAAATCTCCCCACCACTTCCACAATAACACCAATACACGCAATCTACATAAACCCAAATTTTTAAAAACAGTAATCAGTTTGTCTGACGATCGCTTCAAAGCGTGAAACCCAGGGTCACAAACTCACATCTATCCAACCAAATATATATATATATATATATATATATATATATATATATATATATATATGAATTGAAGATTAGATGTAGAGCAGAGATGGATAGAAATCCGACAAGATGATAAAATAAAGAACAAGTAGGAAACATATCTCAATCTAACATGTTTCACTTTTATTAAAGCTGGGGCAAGCATTAAAATGTAATTAAAATAATGAAGGGAGAAAAGGATAAACAAAATTCAGAAAGGGGGTGGCATAGAAAAGTGATAAAGAAACAAAAAAATCAAATGGATACCAAAGAAAGGGTTTGTGAGGCCAACATTTAGAACAAGACAGGGTATATTTACTAAGGTAGAATAGTGTTCGTATTTCCAAATTCGGACCTGCTATATCCACCACAATTTTTTTTAATCGTAACCGGCTTACATATAGAGATTTGTAAACATTTGTGGCAAATAACTACTTTGTTCGGAAATTAACAAAGCAAAAATTTCCCCACTCAGGATGGACTCCTTTAAAATATATATTAGCACCTTGTGCAGGCGTTCCCCATTCTCGCAAACATATATATATATATATATATATATATATATATATATATATATATATATATATATATATATATATATATATATATATGTGTGTGCATATATATATATATATATATATATATATATATATATATATATATACATGCAAACACACACACACACACACACACATATATATATATATATATATATATATATATATATATATATAGACTGGGTTCTATAGCCTTGGATGGCAACTGGTCTAGGAGAAGGACAACTCTGAATTCGAAAACGGCGGAGGGTCGCTTGGGAGCCTTGTGGCATTCGGTGCACCAGGTCTCTGTATTCGTCCCTTCAAAAAGTGTGGATGGTTCTGTACGAAGCCTTCACCACTATAATCAAATCTCATGTGCCGGTGTCTGGCTGTCGGTTTCCTGGAAACCGATCTGCTTGACCCTCATACGTCGAATCTCGACGCGAGAGTCGATTATATATATATATATATATATATATATATATATATATATGTATATATATATATATGCAAAAGCCACAAAAAAGAACAAATTAAATACAATAAAATTCCAATAAATAAAAGTGTTCATTTAAATGATACCAGTTTAACATTAGGACTGGCAAATGTCAACTGATGGGTGTTTTTAATGACTATCAGAACAGGAAATGTTTGGTGACGTCAGTATTTACTTCTTCTTTCGAGTCACTTTTCATTCTTTCTTCATAACTCGTTTTTTTTATTATCAATCAGATTTAAGTGTGTGTATATGTTATTCTTCGAAAAGTTTCATATGCAACGCTATGTTTTAAATTTCTAATATTAAATTTCTTTTAAATTTCCCAATAAATCTATTTCTATGAATTAATTTCTTACTAATGTTTCTTTTTATTTTTCTATTTTTACTTCATTCTTTCATGGCTCATTCTTCTCTTTCCTGTCCGACTTTCTGTATTAATGTCGTTCGTTTTCGTTCATCTTTGTCGGTTTTTTTTTTCTTTATTTGATTTTTTCATGATTTTTTTAATTTGGTTTTTTCACCATTATTCATTCTTTTCTTCCATTCTTTCTTTCTTCATTCTTCTCGGCAATCAATTGCAGAATATTTTCTTTCTTTCTTTCTTTCTTAATTCTTGGAGAAAATGTTTGAGAATATATTCATTCAACAATATCATTTTTTTTTTAATTTAAAATCTTGAAATATATTTTCCGAAATATTTTATTCGATATGTTTCTTTTCCCTTCTTTCATTCATTCTTTTATTTTTTCTTTCTTTCTTTTCTTCTTTCTTTCTTTCTTTCTTTCTTCGTTTCACTATATTTCTTTTTTTGGCTTCTTCCTTTTCAGTCGTTGTTTCATTCTTTCTATCATTCTTTCTTTCTTCCAACATTCCGAAAAAAAATTATTTTTAACAATATATTCCATTCCTTCATACTTTGCCAAATTATTTTATCAGTATATATTCTGAATATTTTCTTTCTTTCTTTCTTTCTTTCTTTCTTTCTTAATATCTACCCACTCCCTCACTCTTTCTTACTTCAGAAATTCACATAGCTATCTGTGCCTTTATTTATTTATTTAGAAAATGTTTAAGAATATATTCATTCAACAATATCTTCCTTTTTTTAAATTTAAAATCTTTAAATATATTTTCCCGAAAATCTTATTCGACATTTCTTTCTTTCTTTCTTCGTTTCTTTCTTGCTTTCTTGCTTTCTTTCTTGCTTTCTTCTTTCCTGAGGTTGTTTCATTGTTTCTTTATTTCAACATTCCGAAAGAAAATGTTTCCATTTTTTCATACTTTGCTAAACTATTTTGTCAGAATATATGGTGAATATTTTCTTTCTTTCTTTCTTTCTTTCTTTCTTTCTTTCTTTCTTTCTTTACCAAAATGTATTTGAATATATTTATTCAAAAATTCACTTATTTTTTCTGTATTTAAATTTTTGGTCAAAAATATGATTAAGAATATATTTATTCAAATTTCCGTTCATTCTTTCTTTCTTTCATTGTTTCTTTCTTTCTTTCTTTTTTTCTTCTTTTCTTTCTTTCTTTCCTTCTTCAACCAGATTATTAGACAGAATATTTTTTTCAATAGTTTCTTTCTTGATTTCTTTCACCTTTCACCGTCTATTTTATTTTTCATTTTTATTATTCCTCCCTATTCATTGCCTATTTACATTCTCGGTGACTTTTATTTTTTATTTCAACCATTTTCGATTTTTCATTTATTTCTGTTTTGTTTTCATTATTTACATATATTTTCATCATTCATTCATTTATTTCTATATATTTTTTGATCTTATTTCAAACATCCTTTCTTTTGTGTTACATTCGTCATTTTCTCCAATCCATTCCATTTCATTTACAACTTTTACCGCTGCCTATTACGAATTTCCGCTTCGCTTTTCCTCACTTAGTGAACTTCGCGAATTGCGTCGTTTCCTCCGACCGATTATATACAATTAACTTTCCAAATCCGCATTTTTCATTTTTTTTTTTTCCTTATATTTTAAATAATTTCACGCTCCTTTATTCAACATTTAACCTGACATTTTGGTTTTGTTTTATAAATATTCTGATGTTTTTACTTTCCGACTTTATATCGAATAATTTTGCGTCTCATGCGAAACACAAAGGCTTCTCCTAAATTTATTAATACTAATATTTTATCGCTGAATATTTTATATTATTGTGATAATCTTCGTCCTAAGGTTTCATACATGTCTATCTATCTATCTATCTATCTATCTATCTATCAGTTTGGGTATCTTTTCAGATTTATCTCTATCTCTCTCCTTTTATCTATCTATTTATTTATCTTTTCAGATTTATGTGATCTATCTATCTATCTATCTATCTATCTATCTATCTATCTATCTATCTATCTATCTATCAGATCTATATACCTATCTATCAATTTGTTCGTCTTTTCAAATCTATCTATCTATCTATCTATCTATCTATCTATCTATCTATCTATCGAAAATTTGGCCAAAAATTTCGCGTAAAAAGCAGGAATGTATAAAACCATCCGATATTGTATTATTTGTTGTGCGGCTCGGTAATGATATGAGAGATCTTTCCTTAGTATACATTGGCACACTTGATACCAAAAAATTGATTTAATTTCGCAGCCTACTAACATATTGTTGATAATTTAATATTACTATATACCCATCCTGTCAAATATAGAAATAATAGCAGATGGGAACAATTATCGAACAAATACTTTGAGAAACTTTTGCAACAAATACAAAAAAAATGTGTTTTTGTAATCACGGCAGAAAGAAAGAAGTATTTTGACGAGAGCAAAATTCAATCATAAAATATAATTTTTTTTTTCGTAATAAAATTTCTAAAACAGATTATTTTTTTTTTAACTAGATTCTTAATTTTCTCTTATTTAAAAATAGAAAATACCTATTTTGGGACCAGTTTAAAAAATACCTGGGCTAGTATCTGTTTTTGAACTGTATATATATATATATATATATATATATATATATATATATATATATATATATTATTTATTTATTTAAAATATGATTCAACTCGCAACATAAGAGTCATTTTAAAACAAGAGCTAAATATTGAATATAAAATTTTGAAATTATTAAAACGTAAATTTCAGAAATGCGTTATTTTTCTTGAAGATGGAAAGAAGCTTACTTTAAATAGTTTTCAATCTTTGTTTTGAAACATGAGACCTCTTATGTCTCGAGTTGGAATCATATTTTTTAAATAAATAATTATATTTATGGTCTACTTTTGTATCGAGCACTATTTTTAAAAAAATAACGAAAATACTAAGAACTTTGTTACTCACCTAAGTTTCCTTTTCCTATTTTCTGTATATTTTCAATCACACACACACACACAAGAAAATTGAAATATATATATATATATATATATATATATATATATATATTATAAATTAATTGATTTAAATTATGTTTTTTCAAAACAATGACGTAACCATGTTTCAAAAATGGAAGTTGAAAGTTAATTTATCCCTAACCCTAACCCTAACGTCAATAAATATCCATAAATATAGTACACCTTTAAACTATATTTATCTCTCTCTCTCTCTCTCTCTCTCTTATATATATATATATATATATATATAATTAATTAATTTTTTTTTTTAATACGTCTATTCCCTTTATATATTCATTTCCCTCCCCCCTATTTCTCTTTTGTGTGTGTGTGTCTTTTTTTTTTTTTTTTTTTTTCCTTTTATTTATTCTTTTCCTCCTATTTCTATATATCACTTTTTTTCTTTTTACATAAATAGGTCAAGGTTGGTCATCCTCCTACCCCAATTTAAAGCTTATTTAAGAGAGATGTAAATTTAAACCCTCCTATATTTTTGTTTGTCTCTTTAACTGCCAAATGTTTAATTAAAAAATTACACTACCCATCAATTTCTAATCACATTTTTCCTCTCATTTCATTGTTGGAAATGTTACCTGATGATCCCGTTTTGGTGAAATAAATTATTGTAATGGTAAATTGTATGTTTTTCATTAAATATTAGCTCCCGCCTTCACATTGAGCTCAGGATATCATCTCCTTGATTTACTTCAGTTTTACCAAATTCTTCATAACTTTATATATATATTTATATATATATATATATATATATATATATATATATATATATATATATATATACGTGTGTGAAAATAAATCTATGTTACTTATGATTAACACCTGTTGCATTCAGGATATGCTCCAGAAAATATCTTTTTAGAGTAGTAGGGATAATGTTGCATAAAGAATCAATTTATTTCTTAGAAATTAATTTAAATACATATGCTTGTTCGATAGCAACTGTCCTACCGTCAACACACTCTCCATGACATGACGACACTGATGTGAGTCAATAGTTGGAGTACCGACCATATTTTATAAATATGCATAGGTATTTTCTGTATCCTTTTAAGGGTTTCCATATTGAAATCTAGTATATAACCATTTATTTAAAAAGTCGTAAATATTCTAAATCGTTATTTGTGTTGTATCCCCCCCCCCTGTGCAGGCGGGGTGGGTGGAAAGTCTTGGGGCAACGCTCTTGATTCACTCATATTTTGCTTTCTTCTTTTTGTCATCTTCCGGCCGGGTGATCGCTAGTTGTTCTTTAAGTCCAAATGAATATACAAAAGGTATTTTGACTTACTACTTTATTAAACACGTCGAAGTGCATATTTATTAGTAGCCGGTGGTGTCTCTCTATCAGTCCCACTGGGACACGAAATAACAGCGTCTGATCTTTTCCACGTGTAAAAATTTACTCCTCGATATAACTTTCTCTCTAACATTCCTACGTTCTGTTCAGCCAATCAAAAATCAAGATTCCTATTTGGTCTACCAGCTGACCCCAAGATTATCCCCAGAAGGCCTGAGCCAAATACACTGACAATAAAATAATAATAGTCAGAAACTATTAGTTAACCTTCCTTACCTAAACATAAAATAATAATCTATGAATTTTAGTCTATATTTCTGAGATGAGGTATTATGTACACTATTTACATTATTCGGACTATTATACTCATCTTTGTCTCCGGCCTTCTTCAGGTGGTTGGAATGTCGAACTGAACCCTTTATTTCGCTCAAAACTGTTCTGGTTCCACGTGACATGTCTAATAGGTGTCAGTTATCTTTTATCTCCTGTTAATTATCCTTTCCAAGTTTTAATATATTTTATTGTTATTTATATAGAGACAAATATTTCAGTAAATGCTCTGTTTATAATAAACAGTATTAACAACATTTAAAACCGGCCTGAATGTCTGAGAAAATTACATTGGAAAATATGCGTTCTCCGACAGGAATTGAACCTGTATCCCACACGGAACCGTTCGAGGGAAATCCTCGAGGATTGTAGTTTAAAAGTAGTAAAATCGCCCTTGCTAAACAGACGCTCCTCTGTAGCTAAACTGGTATTGCACGTCAGGCTATTTGACGCTTCTTACTGGTCAGATACCTGTCACGTGCATTAATCCAATAAATAAAATGTAAATGCGCGTGAAGAACGTTTTAGACATTAAAATGTGTAATGGTGTATGAATGTGTATGCAATGAAACGGTTGCATGTCTATGTGTATGTTGGATGGTAACTTTAATTCATGTAAGTGTATTTTTTGCGTATGTGTGAGAAATGACTATTGATGTCACCCTTAAATATCGGTATGTTGCAAACATTTGAATTTGGTTGCATTTTTATGTTCCCGTGTCTGTATATATGTGTGTGGGGGGGTCTGTTGTCGTTACCTCTGTATGGATGATGATCCGCATTAAGATATTGTAATAATCATGTTTTCTTTGTATTTATCATTAAAGAAGTTCTCATGCGTTTATTTTTGCAAATATTTCTACATTATCATTATTTTATGTATTAGACATAAGTTGCATTCATGAATAATGGATGTGTAGAAAGATGGTGATGTGATATAACGTTTCAAGCCAGTATTTATCGTTGGTAGCAATGCTATAAATGTGTTCATAATATATTCTCCTTAAATGGTTATGTTCTTTTTTTTAATTAGATTGGTATTAGTGAAATCAAATTATGTCCCACGTTGTTTCGATGTAAGGCGAGAGAGTTTGAGTGTCTGCCTAAACACAAGTTTCTCTTGTGTTCATAGATAAGGGTTTTTAGATCACCCACGTAAATGTTTTTTGCATTGTAGTGACTTTATCTGATAAATTCCGGCATCAGAGATGGGGTTTGGTATATTTTTCCTCCTGATTATATCCCCGATTGTCTTGGAGATTGTGGTAACATTCCTAATGTTAGGCATGGCTAATTCGTTTACAACTTTACTTGAAATAAGATTTGAATTTTATGTGATTTTTGGAAGCATCAGTTCTTTTGGCTATATGGATTTTGTGAGCTCTTTTGGTTGCGTTGAGAATGAAATGATGTGGATAGTGGAGAAGTTTGAATGTTTTCTCAAAATATTCCTCTTCTTCATGTAGTTGGCTTTGGCGCGTTCAAAATTCTATGAGTAGTCCAGATTTTATTCTCTGGTTATTTTAGAAATTGATTAGGTCATTTCTGTTTGTAGTGTTTTCGGTAAACATTAAAATCTAATTTATCATTGTTGCGTAATAATGCCGAGGAAAGCTAGAGAGTGCCTGTTTCAAGATCGTGTGTGAATTCCATCTATGTATCTCAGGTAAGTAGGGCTTTTAGGTAAGATATATTTCAATGGACGGATTCTAAGAATTCTAGAAAGAGGTAAGCGAGAACACCACTTAGAGGTGACCCCATGGGTAAACCGAATTTTTGTTTTTAGAAAATATTATCGAAAAAGACAGTGGCTAGTAAATAATATAAATATATTTATAATTTTGTGAACGGGTAAAGGAAACATTTCCTTTGATTTTTAAGTGTTTGTTTTTAATATATGACGGCATTTAGTGATAAGTACGTTGGTATCTAATGATTTGTTGAGGCCTAGTGACTTGGAATAGATATGTTTGTCACATTTATGTTACGTGTTTAATGTGTGTTGTTTTAATAATGCCTATGAATGGAGTTACGATGTTTGAGATGACTCTAGCTAATTTGTTAATTCCGGACACAAAGTTTTTGATGCGTATGCTGGATTTCTGTATCTTGGGTAAGCATTATAGTGTATGTATAGTGGGGTTGTATTAATCTATACCAAGATTATTTTTGTTTTTAATAGATTCTTCATTTTTTAAATACTTAGTAGAACATTGATTCAGTGACAAAATAAACAGAAAAATTGTTCTATCCAGATTTTTGTATGTACACCTATAAATAAGCAAAAAAAAAATTACAAACTGGTCATTTTAAAATCAAGCTAGTAAAATAATTTAAATATTATATGTATTTATTTCTTGTGTGTAAGAGTTTATAGTGCTTTTCAATCGTTTTGTTGTCGGTGTTATCGTTATTCAAGAAAATAATTTGTTCAATACCATAGCATACGAGTTCCGTGGTTTCCTTTACATTTATATCTCAAACGAAGAT